TTTGTCCAAATCAAATGGGCTGATTTACACAGCTTTGGGCTTTATTCTGCCTCTAATGATGTCACAGTTGTTAACGTGAGTAACAAAGTGGGGGAGCATGCACAGGAGGTACCCTTCTGTGTGTGTTAGCTACATAGTATTGTTGATAAAACAGGTCTCTGCTCCCCAGGAAAATAAAATTGGAGAATATGAATAGGAGAAAAGGCTTTCCATCTGTCTTAGCACATCTCTTTATCCTGGCGTTTAAACCTGGTTTATTTTTTTCCTGATTGGCATTTTTCAAAGAGCAGCTGCTTGCCTGTGAAGGTCTATCCTAGCCGATGCTCCACCAATTTAACTGTTACTTTATTCACTCCAATAGCAGGCTAATCAACCTTTTCTTTTCAAGTGTATCAAAGTGCTGAACATGAGACAGTTTGTAATTATGGAAAATGGGAGTACACTTTTTATCCTTAGGGCAATTAGATTAAATGATTCTGCACTATGAGCTAATACTATAAATAATCTCTTACGGTTATTTTTCCTGAATGGCGAATTTTCCACTGAGCTTGAACGGGCAGGGGGAGCATATATAGCAAATAGTGATGATTTACAACGTAAAACCTCAAAACACTTTATAAAATGTGCTTCCACTGTTCCTAGCTCAGGTTGCTAGGAATTTTTATACCCAAACAAACTGTGATTCTGTGGTTCTGATGTTTTCCCACTGCATGTTGTGAAGGAGGAAATCATTTGTTTGCTGTTACCCTGTTACAGAGCACTTCTGTGCATTCAGGAAAAGAAAAAGAACTTAAATGATGCTCTTAATTAAACTTGAAAGAATTAATATAAATTACATTTTATGTAAAATTTACATTAAAGATGTATGTACAATTTACATTTTTGTGCTGTCTCTTTTGGTCTAGCATGGTAGATAGTCTTTGATAAGCACTGACTTCCAGTATCCTGCCAGTGTGTTTAGACACAGCTGACCAGACATGAAGTGGTACAGGGCTCTGCTTCCTGAGGAATTGGAATGCTCAAGAAGAGAGGTTTTCTTAATTTCCTTTGAAAGTAGCAAGTGACTTGACAGTTGCAAGCCAAGATTAAGCAATAGGTGTTTTTAAATGGGGACTGAGACTCTCAGAATCAAAGCAACAGTCAGTGAGGATGGGATGAAGGGAATTGACTCTATTGGTCCATGAGAAAAGCAATTGGAGGGAGTTTAAAATAGTGTTAAGTAATTACTGTTAATTGAGAATGCTGAGGGAAACGAGAGGAAGAATGAAAATGACAGCAGAAACAAGTAGAATAGCTGGCAAATACTGATCCTTGTGATTTTAGCTTAAAGGAAGAAGGTGGTAGAAGAACTGCTCATGTGAGCTGAAGTTATGACAGTAAGACCAAGGTTTTTACCCCGGTGTAATTGTGGGTGCAATCTTGAGCGTTCAAATGAAGCACTAGCAGTTGAAGTCCATTTCAGGGTGAGTGGTTGGAAATCTTGCTCTGTCTCTTCCTGACCCCAGTGTTCTGTTAGAGCACAGAGATGCTGTTGTGCTGCTGAAAATTGCTGGAGCCCTTTGGAAATCCCCCTTGGAGGCCTATTTGCTGTTTCCCTTTGTTAGAATTTTTGGGTTAGGACTCTGAGAGAGATCTGGCCATCTGGAGCTATGTGGCTGAAACGGCTGTGCTATAAAAAAGCAGAGCCTTCTTACTGAGCTAGGTGTGGGTAGTGTTTTGATTTCAAATTGCTTCTATACTTAAGTCTCAGCTAAAAGAGAACTCCAATAAATATTTCTGTGTTTGTTGTGGTAGGAGAATGTCATCTTCTTTCATGAAAACCTAAAAATCAAAGGAGAGCTTATTATAAGGTATGGTAAATGACACTGCTGACACACTCACCAGCTAATTCAAAACACATGGTTTATAACCGCTTTTTAAACTACAAGCTATTCTAAAATTTTATTTAGGCTCTGTAATTGTGAGGTGGCTCAAAGAGTGGTATGTGGTTTAAACCTATAGTTGCAAATGGTGACTTTACAGAGCCGTGCCTCTTAATGTTGCTAAAAGAATAGAAGGATTCTCTGTGGTCTACAGATCATTAAAATGTGTTAAACTAAAATGACCTTAAATTAAATTATTTGATGTGTTTGTAACAAATAGGGAATAGCATGAAATTATATTTTTGGAACAAATAGAGTTTGAAACAAAAGACTCGAAGTCTTTTTTATTTTTACTGCAAAACTAGAAGGCTATAATAGATAGGAAGGACTGTAAGGTGTAATGGTGCACCATGAAAGTGGACATGACAAATGAATAGATCTATCTTTTTCTTTGAGATAAAGATCTTAGTTCAGGCTCTCACATAAATGTGTCTAATGCTGTTCATGCAATGCCAGGAAGACAAAGAAATCTTAGTTATTTAAATACATTCTTGGTTATGCCTTCTCCAGTTGAATTGTTGGAGCAGTGGTTGAAATGTCAGAGGTAAATTTTAGAACACTTCTACTAGGTAACTTTTGATAAGTACATACGCAAAGCTTCTTTTGAAATGAGTTGACTTATTTTTTCTTTTGTCTGTAGTAGATAACATTTGATATACTTGTGAAGTATTAGGCTTTGCTGGGTTGCATAGATTGGAGGCAAAGGTGATGTATACCAAGCATCTCTTGACTAGATTGGCTAAAACCAGAACTGGATGAAATCCCACTGTCTTCTCCAACTTCAGAGGTGTCATTGCAGTATTAGACTCTCAATTTCTCTGCTGGGGGAGGAGAAAGAGCATGATTGGTGTTTTTAACTATGCAGTGCAGGCAGAGTTAAATACATCAAGCAGTAAAATGTATTTTGACAGGGGCTGTTGGGAAACTAAAACTCAGTGTATTAGAAAAGATGAATGGTTACTAAGCTGATTAACTCATAACTCAGTATATCAACAGAGAGAATACTTTCTCTGTGCTCAATGCTGATTTCATTTTCTGGTGTGAAACTACTGCCAAGTAAGTTGTTTCAGCAGTGAAATACTAGCTAGTTGATGGCTGAGATTGTTTGAAGGACAGCAGGCATGGAATGAGCCATCCAGTCTGTAGGTTCAAAAAGCATCTCAGGGTCTTACCTTCCCGCTGAAAGCTGGTTTCCTGAATCAAACCCATAGAAACCACGGCATTAGTATTAACGTGCTCTCACATGGCCCATGAATGCTCAGTGCAGTTTTATTTCTTTCCTCTTCATCCTACTGGGTATTTTTTTCCTTGCAAAAAGGAACATAATGTGTGCTGGAATAAGCTTTTCTGAGTGCCGCACATTGTACTCTTCAGTTTACAATTATATCTGCAGCAGTGTTCGACAAATATTATTCATTTCCTAAATATGTCCTGTAAGAGAGTCTGGTAAAGTGTTATTGCTACTGTAGTTTGGATTCCAGACGGTAAAGTGGATGCCAGAAATTGTGTCATGGTCTCTCAGCAGCAGCAGAATTTTTTTTTTTTTTTTTGTTAGTTCTCCAGCATGTTGGCCTCATCACAAATTGACTTTGTTGTAATGCTAAAAACATTACAGTCTGCTACTTTCTCGTAAACACATTTTCACCTCCAGTTGAACTACTGAGTTCAAATGCTTTAATCACCATAGCAGTATTAAGTTTTGAGAGATCAGTCTTAATTCAGGTTCAATGGTACGTGTTTCAGAAGGAGTTAATGACCTTTGATCGTGGTTGTTAAGTGGATGGCCCAACCATCTGTGCGGAGAGAAGAATTGTAATTTAGTGCCTTAGGCGATGTAAGTTGGTGAGAAAAGCGGTGAGAGCCCTGGGCTGGTCCTGCAACTGGACAAGCAGGGGTGCTGCAGGAGCGAGGAGGAAGGAATCGATGACATGAGCATCATTGGCAGGAACCTGCGGCGATTGTACGTTTTATGTTGACCTGAGAGTTCGTTTCTATTTTTCATACATAATTGCTTACTGTAAATAACAAATGATATCCATTTTAAGTACATACAAACACTAAATATTTTACTAGGTGCAGTAATCTAACAAAGCTCTTGGTCTGTTGAATGGGTGTTTATTTCACGTAAAAATATGCTGTGTTTGGCTAGTAGACATTTTCTTTAAGGTGTGTAGTGCAAGTGTGCCTTTTTATTTGGATTTTGCTTTTAAGTCCTTTTTTTTTAGATACTACTTGCTCCAATTTTTCCACGGGGTTCTAATGCTCAGTTTCCAGAGTCCTTTATTCCATAAACTGAAAAATGCAGTTGAAATATATTACTCTTTCTCTGTCTCAAAATTACTATAAAGAAAACTAAATATAAGGAATACATCTGCATTTCTCCAAAATATATGTTGCTGCATAGCAACAAAGCACATCTGGATTCCAATTGCAGTCTTGTATTTTCAGGGTCATGATGTTCTGAGCTCTATGGAAAGACATTTTTGGTACAGGAAAGCTGTTGATTCTTACTATATTCTTTAATTTCACCACATGACATCACCCTTACTGAGTTAAGACTGGGAAACACTTCTGCATATTTATACAAAAGTCCAGCAATACCTGAATGCTTAAAATGCTCGATATTTTGTAAGGTTCTGAGATTTCTTCATACTTTTGAGAGTAGAAATTGCAGCTTATGGTTTTGTTAGTGCTCAGGATTCTCCTGTTTCCTTTTTCTTCAATGTCTTCAGACAGAACACGTCCTGTTGATGCATTGACATTTTGTTCAATGAAGCATGCTACCTAAATTTCCCTGAAATTTTGTGAGTTTGTTTTGAGCTTGCTATCTTTAGAAAAACTTAGAGGTTATGCTTGTTTGTTCCTGGAGAAAGTCTAAATAAGCCACTGAGAAAAAGTATCCGTTTTGCTTCTGTGGGTCTTTATATTCTGAAAAGTGAATGCTTCACCCCTTACAGAACATTAGCACTTGGGGGTGGTTTGGTTTTTTTCTCCCCTGCCTGGACACGAAGGACAAATTGTAGTTATTGTTGATGTTTGTTTTAGCTAATTCTCAATTGACTCTTTGTTACTTTGCAGCTTTGCTCTGTCAGATGAAGCATACAGATCTTTAAGGGACCAGGATAAAGACCAGTGTATCCTTATTACAGGGGAGAGTGGAGCTGGAAAAACAGGTAATAAGCAGTTTTGATCTTATTCAAAAACATTCAGAGTTACTCAGTGTCTTGCAAAGTGATGCTAGAGTCTGTCAGAGTTAAGAGATATCAGTATCTTTCTATGTCTGGCAATTGCAGAAAATGAATGCTGTCATGCTTGTTACTATAGGTGTGAACTTACATAAACTAGTGTTTTTTCACATTGTCACCATGATGTGTGTTTGATACAGTATCCTCATCAGTATGCAAAGTCATACTAAAGTAATGCAGGTTTGTGACAGAGCATTGCAAGGGCCAGAAAACTTTTAGACTGTCCCTGTGGGAAACACGGAGACAGAGAAAACTGAATGCTCTTGGTCTTCTAGACGGGAAGACAATCCTTTGATACTTTTGCATGTCTTTTAATAAATATATACGCTTAAACTGGATTATGTCTTTTATCCAAGGAAAATAAAGAATAGTAGCCAATTACTTTGAATATTTCATCAGTCTTTGCATGCTGTGCTCAGCTGCAATTCTAAGATTGGCTTGTGTACCAGAACACTATGTTTCTCAGGAAAAGCTGAAATTGCCTTGAAAATGCTGATTTTTAAACTGGAGTGGCAGAAATCAAGCAAGGATTGCATAACTGCAGAACATTTTAGGTAGACCTTAAAAAAGAAAGAAGCCAGTTATTTTCTGAAATAACAATTTAAAACTGAGATGACTTGCAAAAGACACAGTGGGTAGGAACACATACATCTGTTTCTATGTAATTTAAGAGATTTTTCCTTTGAATCTGAGAAAATGTGGAGCTTTGTATGCTTATACTGAGCAAGACAAAGTGGGTAACGACTTAAAGTGCTTTCAAGCCTTTTGTCAAAATGTGAAGTGTAGGCTTCATCTTTGTTTTTCTTTGTCTCATTAGTGGCATCTAGTTGAGTGGTCTTGAACTCTTGTAATTATAATCCTTTTTTTCAGTTCAGTAACATGAAAACACATGTGTGTTCAGTAAAACAATATATTAAAACAATGAAGTTCTTATTAATATGATTGTTAGGGATCCTGTCTAGGAGTTCAGACTTTAGAAAGGAGTTCTGTACTGGTATTGTTTAATGTCTTGATTTTCTCAGGAATGTGAATTATCAAGCACCTCATACAACTGAGATCCAGCTTTTATTCATTTATTTTTTCAGTTGAAAGGTGTAGCAGTGGTTGAGTTTGTGAACTTCTCTGTTTGTAGAGAATATTCTGGTAAATTCAGATTTGTATAGAGATTTTGACTGTTCTGTAATTTTCATAGCCATATGGGACATAATATGAATTATTCCTTCTTTATAAAAGTAAGTACAGAATAATACAGGGTTTGAAATTCAAGTCAGTAATCAACTCTGAATCTGTGCTATTCTCTCGCTAATATTTGATGTAACTACTGTTGCTGAAATGGGGCTATTAGGTGAGAAGTCTGCAGGTTTCTACTGGGGGGAAAAAAAAAAAGGACAAGGAGGAAGTTGAGGAAATGAACCTGTTAGTACAGATCCTGTATAACTCTGTTTTAGATTTTTGGTAGCCAGAACATTTGGCGTATTTGGGCAAGAAGAATTGAAACTGAACAGCCATCAGCTGGGGTTTTTTAATTTACTTCCAATTTTATTCTTGTTGCACTGCATGTTTTTATTGGTAATCAATAGCAACGTTGTGCAAGAAAACATGGTGCATTGCCAGAATGAGTGTTGTATTTCAATGTTTTTTGAGGTTGAGGTGATGATTCCCTTCCTGGTATCTTTAATGGACCAAACAGTTTCCTAATAAAAGAAAGGGGTTTTATTTTCTTTCAGTGGTGTCCAAAGCCTGTCTTTAAGCCATTGTATGTATTCTTAATGCCTATTATTTTATAATAGCTTATTTGCTGTTTCAGTGCTTTCTTCTCTCATTGATTGAGCTCTCCTTAAAGATGTTGACTGTTTCAGGAAATATTTCAAATCAAATAATTTGGTAGTTCCAAGCTCTGAAGTGAATGGATTCTTAAAATGAGAGCTGGGTTCAAGGTGCAATTAAAGATCGTGGGAGGCCTTATGGACGCACCTATAGTTACTGCTCCTTGCTTGCTTGCTGTTTTGCAGGCTTGCTCAGTTTTCTCTACAATATGGGATAGTAATTTAATGCTAGCAAACAAATTTGATTAAATTGGAGTAAAAATCCAAGGGATATCTTCTTGTTTGTCAGTTCTTTCCTGAAATGAAACCCTGAAATTTGTAACAGATCTCTGAAGAACAAGTAATGGGTTTTTTATGACCACTGTCTTGAGTTGATAGAGATTCCAGCTGTTAGTAATTACATTGTATATCAGCTGATATTGCATCAAATTTCACTATCTTGCATCATACTAAACATCACAGACTTTGTTTTATAAACAGAATCCTTTCTCAGCTGCTCTTTGTCCTGACTAGAAAAACCATACGGGTTGCATGGATTATTTAATATTCATTTCTGTCTGTATACGGGTGATTGACACCCATATGAATCCAGCTCTGAGAGTCCACAAATAGTTCCAGACTTTGTTAAAAGTTTGTACCTTCGAATTAGTGTCATTGTTTAAATGAATGCTTGTCTTCCTTTATTCATTACACTTTGAAACAGACTGCATAATGTTGTGATGTTGAATTGCAGTTACTCACTTACTTTTAGTGTACTTTAGAGTTGTGATTACATCTGTATGGTGTTACATGTTTACACTTGTGTTACTGTGTATCTCCTGATATAAACTGATTGAATTTTCCATCTCCAAACTCCTCAGGCCTATTTTTTGAAGTTAGATTAAAACATTTCCAACATGCCAGCTAGGGATAATGTTCTTTCCTTACTGAATGCCTATTACTGAGGCTAAATGAAAAAGTAGCGGGTAATGTGCTATATCCACTGGTGGCATCATCAGCTTGGGAGAGCTCTAGGTATTTAAGGCAATAGAGCTGCTGATGTAATGGCGTGGGTCTCATAGCCAGATGAGCTCCTTCCTCATTTCCAGGTGGTACAACAGTGTAGAAGACAACTGAAATGAAATGTGCTTACAGCTCCTATCTGGCATGGTGAAAATATGATGGAGATCAAGTCTGCAAATCATTTTATGGCCTATTTGCCAATACTTACCACTGTTTTATTTTGCTCTTCCCCCGTAGAGGCAAGCAAACTTGTCATGTCATATGTAGCTGCTGTGTGTGGAAAAGGGGCAGAGGTTAATCAAGTAAAAGAACAACTTTTGCAGTCAAATCCAGTTCTTGAAGGTAAGAATCTCATAGAGCATGTGCGAGCGTATTACTTCTGTGTGTATCAGCGTTCCTGCTGCGGTTATTGTTTCATTGTTATTTGCTGTCCAAAACCATAGGAGATGCCTTCTGTGAAGACAGCTACAAGATTTTATTCAGTTATGGAAAGGTTTTCTTGAGAAGAAAACTGTTTCCCTCATGAAGGGAAAGCTTAGGAAGTTAGGTCATATTTCCCAGACTCCTCCTGCTGCTCTCTGAGGGTGTACCCTTTCTTAACCCTGCCTTGATGATGCTTGGCTGTATGAAAAGGCTTAACTTCAGTTCAGTCCCTCTGATTAATTTCCTTCCAAATTATATTATTATAGTCTCTAGTAAACAAACAAGCTCTGTAAAGCGTTATTTTTCTTTTAGGAAAAAAAAAGGGTGAAGAAATGATAGACAAAACGAAGCCAATCCATATGCATGCCTGTCGTTCCCTGAGACTTATTGTTCCCTGGGTCTGGTGACTCTGTTGGCCCGTCTTCCTGACAATTGCCTTTCCTGCTCTCCCATGAAAGACCTTTTTTTTAAATTATTTTTATTAGTCATTTTAATTTAAAGAGGTTGGCTGCCAGAAACAGGATCATCATTTTTCCTGGAGATATGATATATCATCCTCAAAGCTTGCAGTTTTGTCCCATTGTCTAATAATTGCCTTCAGAAGTGCCTTGGTTAGCGTTGACTTATTTAGGTCTATTGTGTTGATTCCTGGCTCAGTCTTTCCCACAGTTCTTTAAGCTATTATGGAGCAGAGACAAATTCCCATGACTGCTGTACAATAATTTTGCATTATAGCTAGATGATATGCAGTCTTTGTAAGACTGTTGAGTGTCAACATCTTACTTATTGCCTAGCTATCTATATGCGATGATTTGGAGTCTATGGGGAGCAAGCACTCTACAAGTGAGAGCAGGGGGGGAAAATAAAAAAAAAAGGGATGAGAATGCAAAAGTGCACTGACAGCAGTGGTGAACTGGATGGGTAAAGTGTAGTCGTTGACTGTACACAAAACAAAAATTGTAAGCAAAGACTTGTAAAGAAAGGATAAAATGTTAAGATTTAAGAATAATAAAAATGCTGGATAAGCCTTTCTTTGATGATCAGATATCTTCCACTTAAAGCTGAATGGGAGGGATTGCAATCTTCCATTGGTTTGGATTCACAGAGAAGAGCTGTGTTGCTTTTATCAATGGTTGGGAAGGCAGATTTCAGATGTAGACAGAAATAATATGGGAAGTATGGAAGTTTTTCTTGCCAAAGCTAGATTGTTCCCCGGGGACTGCCAAATGTATTGGATTTCTTGTTCGTTTGTGAATCTTTGTTTTAATGCAAGAGGAACAGACTAAGCTTACAGAAGAGCACCTTATCATTTTAAGGTATTATTTGTTCTACTTGGTGCGCTGGTAACTGCCTATTTAGCTTTGTGGAAGGCAGGATGCTGGATTATTCTACAAGGCTGCTGAGCAAGCCTGACTGCTTATATACATTTTAGACAGAAATTAAGCATTTGTGGTTAGATTTATTTTTCTTTGGTTATGTAATTCTGTTTCAGTCAAGCTGCAGTGCAAGAAATTGACATAAATGTTACATATGCATAATTTATCTTATGGGATTTTTTTTAACTACAGTTGCTACTGTAAATTAACTTTTAGAAACAATGAACTTAAGGGAAAACTGAGGAATGCATTTCATGCTTTATAATGGAACGTTTGTGCTTGATTCTGTGCAGTTATAAATGACTCTACTGTTCAGCACTGTGTTTAAGAAAATGCAGCTCGGAGATTTGGTTGTTGAAATGATGATTTATTGCAGGGCATAAAGATTTTAAAAACAATTCTTTCGCTTATCCTTGGCCTTCAGGAGCAACAAACTTTTCCCTTTGGCTTCAGTTCTTTGATCAAGAAAAAGTCTACTCATGCAAGTTTGTTGAAGTCTAAAAGCATGTATTTATTTCTGTCCAAAAAACATTGACTTGACTTGATCTTTGTAAATATATATATGCTATATAAATGAATACTGGGATAAATAGTCTCCTGTTGTTGGAGTAGGAGTTCTATACTTGATAATGTAGGGGACACTGCTGTTGGGCTCAGCGTGCTTTGACAATGTGAGATGTTTAGAGCTTGAATTGTCCTCCAGTCTGAGCTCTTGTCCTGCCTGTGTTCTAAGCTGGTGGCTGCCCATCTGAATGTAGCCATGGGAAGTCCTTTCTTGGAGGGTTTTCATTGTCAGAAAACTTGACCTAAAGAAATTAAAACCAAACTATTAAAAAAACTAGTTTAAGTCAAGCTGAAGAGAGTGTCTTAAACTTCTGTTGTAAATCAGACTTATTGCAGCTCATTAGCATTCAACTTAAGCTAGGATAAATGTATCGGACTAGTGTAAATAAATCCGTTTCAAAGCATTGATTAAACTGTCCCATGCAAACAATTTTTAAGTGTTATTCTGTAATTTCCTCAGTTCTGGCCTCCATCTTTTACCACCTTCAGTTCTGGGAACCAAGATTCATTTCTTTCTCTGCATTGAAGAGAAAGAAGTATTTCCTATGTTAAGTTATTTGGGTAATAAAATTTTAAATTTGATGATTCAAACTCCAAGGATATAGGCTTAATCCAGGTGCAGTTTTGTCTTGGAACCATTTCCCCTTGTATGTTTTTCTTCCACTTTTTTAAACGAAGCGTTGAGATGAAACTTCTTTGGGCTTCCAGAGGTGTTTTCTCATTTCTGATCATGTCTGTCACACTCCATCAGTCCTCAGTGACTGATAACCATACAAAGAACAGGGTATTTTTTCTCAGAAGTCTGTGATTCCTTTAAATATATAAACAGTCATAGATATTTTAGCATTTAAATATTTTTTTACTGATAGATTTGGCATATTTGTTTTTCTATTTTCTCCAGCTTTTGGAAATGCCAAAACTGTGAGGAATGACAACTCCTCTAGATTCGTAAGTATTTTCTTCAAAGCTGAAATTGAATTCCTTTTAGGGGAGCATGTTATGTTGTTGATTATTTCTGTTTTACCTTGTATCAGCCATCAAGGAATCTATAAGGACGGAGTAAATAATTTGGAGAGAGAACGTTCTTGTAGTTGTCTGAGGACTGTGGTATTTGGAGAAGGCAAATCCCTTCAGCAGCAATCAGTATTTCATTTTGTACATTCGAGCATGTTCTTCCCGAATGTGTGCATTATTAGAGGTCACTTTTCTTTTTAAACAATGTTTCACCTCCTTGTCAGAAATCTTGTTGTTTTCTGATGTGGCCATAGAGTTCTACTGAGAATCAAAGTAAAGGCTAAAAAAACCCCAACCAAACAAAAAAAAAATTAGGATGTGACAGTCTGTGACTGGATGAAAACACAATTGCAACGCAGCTGGATTCTTTAATTTTCTGGCACTGGTGGCTTTAATGTCAGCAACCATGTGCCTGGCAAGTGGTCTGCTTAGCAGGTCGATCTTTCTGCGTGATCTTGATACATTTTTTTTTTTTTTAAATTGCTACTTCAGGTTCTCATTTTCTTTCTATGAAGTTTTAAACTGTATTTACACCTTTAGTTTTAATACAAACATTTGTAATGTTACTTTTTTCTTACATTCTTTATAATAACTGGTTGAATTCGGGCTTTTTTAGCATGAAACTGAATGTGAAATTATAGGAATTAACAATTGGCTCCCCTCAAAAAAAAAAAAAAAAGTTGAAGCTGAAGTTGGGAGATTCAGAAGTGTGAGTACTCATCATAGTTTTGCCTGCTAAAATCAGAAGACTGAATGCAACTTTGTAATTTGCTCACTTGTGTGCAGAAGCGTAATACCATGAGATGCGTAAAGTAAACAACAGAAATTAATACACTGGGAAAATGGTGCGTTGTGAGTAAAAGCAAATGGATAAAAGCTTGGGATGTTGTGACATTGGAGAGCGGCTTTTTTTCCACATGAGAGACTTCTCTCCCCTTGTCTTCTCATTTTTGAGAGTTGGTGATATTGTTCCACGTGGCTATGAATGCTCCTTCTGCAGCTGTCATTGCCCCGCTTCTCAACAGAGCAAAGGGTCTTCATCACACAGGCAGGGCCAAAATTTGAGACACCATAGAAAACTTTTTTGGATAGAAAGGGTAGGAAAAAAATGCGACTGTCAGAAATGACATACTGCAGAAAGGAGGAGGAGACAGCAAAGAGGAGAAGAGGTGCCATTTGCAAACAGAAGTCTTTCCAGGACAAAGTGCAAGCAACTACTATTTCGCCTTTCAAGTCCTTGCTTATAAACACAAAGCTAAAAATACTTTTGGAAACATCCAGCTGGCCCACTCCTTGGGAAATTAAAATTTAATTATCTGATTTAATTCTTTATCTCAGAAATTTGAATCAGCTTAGAATTAACTTCAAACAAGAAAGTACAAGTACTATCCTGTCTAGCCTGCTTCAGCTGCCAGCAGGGAGAAGAATAGAGTTTAAATAGTCAAGCCAATCTTGACAAAATACTCAGTAAATTAGAAAATAACTTTGAGGGAGTCTATGTAAAGTGCTTGTTTTTTATGTTCTGTAATTAAAATCAAGAGAGAAAGAAAAAAGAAAACTTCGTAAATGCAGTCAAGAAAGAAGTATAAAGACAAGGCTTCTCTTTTCAATAGGCTGTTTTTGTCCTCTGTTAACTAAGTACCAGAGGGTGGTGAGATCATTTCTGTGCATGGTTTGCAGAACTTGGTTGAATTACTATCAGAAGTTTTTAACTTTCTAAACTTCCTTGCCAATGTAAGTTGCGCTGCTTTTGCCTTTTGTACACAGACTGACTCTGCTGATTTTGTCACTGTTAAAAGTAGCTGTTACTACACTAAACACTTGTCATATAAATTAAAAAGATGCAAAGACCGGAGCGATCTTCTGCGATGTGGAACAGAAGTCAAGGAAACACGCTGCGCCAGTACAGCTAAAAATGAAATTGCTTTTGCGGTGACAGTCTGTTAATTGTTGCCTCTGGTCTCCTGAGTTACGAGGCAAAGAGTTCAGTGGGAAAAATCCATCACTTTTACAAGGCAGGCACACGCTTAGGGACAGACACCCCGTGATGACTAACAGTAGTCGTTGCCAGCCCCAGCCAGTCCTTAAAGCCAAATGAGGCAGCTGTCCTTCAACTGCCTCGAATCACGCTCCGAGATGAATTTACGCTGAGACAATAAGTCTGCGTGGAAGAGAGTTTCTTCCTGCATTCCTCCGTTAATAAACATGGCAATACCTGCGTGGCCACAAGTATTATTTGGTGTTCTTGGCGTTCTGGTGGAAGTTTGTGTAATGTGCTTTTTCTTCATATAACCTTAGAAACTGAGCAAATTCCTGGGTTGCATTACAAACCTGATCAAAGCTATTCTCTTGAGAATCTCTGGCTGTTATAATGCAATTGTCTTGGAAGCTTTGAATCATTTTCTGGTTTTCAGAATTTGACTGAGTGTGCAGGAGGTTGCCAGATTGCTCTTTTAGCCTGTAAAAATGGCCAACTAAATTCTTAAAAAGTGTTTTGAGCAGTTTTTCTTAAACAGAACTTACAGTCTTAAAATATGTTGCTTTCACAGGGAAAATACATGGATATTGAGTTTGATTTCAAGGGTGACCCACTTGGAGGAGTTATAAGCAATTGTGAGTATTACTCGGTATCAGCATATTAACAGCTTAAAATGTTTTGTTCAGAAAGGAAGATGGTTAAATTATTGAGAAGATCAGTTGCGTTTGTCTGGTCAAATCTCTCTCTATTATGCGATAAATTCTGCTTTTTAATTTTATTGTTGTTTTGGTGCCGAGTAGCGTACTTTGGAGTAAATGAAAACAGACTTGAAGAAATAAGCATGAACAATGGATGTACTGTGTTGTTTAAAAGGTACTGAGTAATGTTCATGAGTTCATATGTTGTCTCTGAAGCTGGTAGCAGATGGATAAGGGTATCTGAGGCTTTTTTTACACCTGGGATCAGTTATGTTTCTTGATTTGATGGGTCATGTAATAATGGTTCATGATGTCTGAGGTATGCTGTTTTGTAATTCATAGTGATACAAAGTATGCTGGAGATCACCACGAGGTGGGTATGTTTATTTGGAATCAAAGCGTTCTGTGCTGATTTTAGCGCAACTCACAATGTAGTAAATGGGTCATCAGGAGAGAGGATGAACAGCTGTTGAGTTCAGGGAGGCAAAGGTGGCCTTGGAGGTTGCTACTTGACGTGAGGATGCTGCTATGAAATCCATAGGATTCAGAAATTTTAACCAGCTCTCTGTTGAGAAGAAAGAGGCTGGGAACAGAATGCCAGCCCAGGGTGCCTTGACTTCTTTTCCTTTTGAGAGTTTAAATGCAGCTTTTAAAAGAAATTGCTCTTCTGTGCTATATAAAGCTATGTTTGTTTGTTTTTCTTATTTTTAAAAAGGGATGGAGGAGAGCAGTAAGTGACTATACTAGGTGTCACTGACCTAGCCTTGACCTCTCTTCCCACTCAGCCAAATTCATCGCTCTTTCTAAAGACTGACTTTTGACTCCATTGGTATTTTACTGATTGTGAAATAATGAGAATCATCCAAGGTGAACTGAACTCTCCATATACAATATAAACATTTTAAAACGTTGCAAAGAATTTTACACATAAGTATCGGGTTTCGGTTGGGTTTTTTTCACAGGGCAAACATTTTTTCTGGACCAGGTCACCTTTTGGAACAGTGCCTGAAAGAGCATGATTTTTGTGACAGAGTAGATCTTGAAACTCAAAGCAGTCACCATTTAAGTGCTTACAGCTATCTATTAATGTTGACGTTTGGCACACCACAAAATCCGAGGCCATACATACTCGGTGTATTCATCAATAATTAAATGTGAACGAAAAGGTTCTAGCAGGCTAGCTGTGTGGTTTGTTTGTTTTTATTTCACATTCAAAATAGGTACATAAAAATGAGCCCTCCTTTGTAGAGTGGACATTCAACAGTTTGTCTTTGAACGTACTGTGCTGAGTCATCTCATTAAAATATTGTGTCACATCAAAAGGCAATCCAAATAGTTACTCTATAGTTTATCTGCCTTATAAATCTTTGCATGCTGTAATTATAGCATTACATGTAATTATAATGATGTGATGACATACGTAATCAAGGGTGGACATATTTTTAGATCTTCCTAAAAGATGCCTATTTTGGGCATTCTCCCCGTGTTCTGACATTTAATAAATATCTAATAGGAAAAAGATGAATTTAAATTTAAAAATGAAGACCTTATGTGTAAGCCCTGTTATGGAAAAGATATTACTTACTGAACTATGAAACACCCCATACTTGGCAGGGTATGTCACAGGTAAATACTGAGTTCCTGTAGCTGCGTGTTAATATAACTCATCTTGGATTTAATGTTCGCAAAATTTGATAGTACATCCATCTCTTTTTAAAAGAGAGATTGAATTCTGTGCAGTTTTAAAGCAAGTTTGTTGTCCTTAGATCTTTTCCACACATCTACAGCATTGCATTGCAACAGAAATGTTTCTGTTGTGAGGCATCACCATTCTAGAGATAACGGGAGCTTAAATTCTTTTACACCACTTACAATTTATTCTGGTTTTAGTCAAAATTAGGATTTGTCATCTTAATTCATCAAGTAGGAAGTCAAGTAGTGCTGAAGTTTCCTATCCTTAAAAGGGAAAGTATGATTAGTTTGTTCATAAATATCCTTTGCTTTTGGACCATCTGTTGGTTTGGTGTTAACATGATGTGAAGATGATATCATAATATTTTGATTGCGCTTTAATAGTTGTATCTGATGAGCTCATATTTCCAAACACCTATGAAGTTAGTGGGCTTTTTGGATTACGGTCTATGTCACCAAGCTGTATTTCATACAGTGAGTGGCTAGAGGCAGATATGGTGAACTTCTAGTTTATTTTGTGGCAAGAAGGGTGATGAAAACAAGGTACTAATTTTATCAGACTGGTAAAGATAAGCAGAGATCCATTAGCCTAAAAGGTCTTGTTTGAAATACTCTGGTCTGCCCTACTCTGAAATGCTATGAAGCCCTGTGAAGGCTGGTCAATCTGCCTGCGACCCTTCACGTAGCGGCTGATGCTATCTGCCTTGGGCCATTCTCTGGTGCTCTTCAATGAGCTCTTACTACTTATGGACAGGGGTTAACCTGCAAGTGAACCTTTCACGGGATGGAGTTAGAGAGTAAAATTCTCATGACAATGCATGTCTGTCCTGTCTGGTTTGCAGGGAATGGACATGTCCATTGGCTTTAGCAGGAGCTGATAGATCTGAAATGTTTAACGTGTCATAAATGGAAGGGTAAATATTTTGAGTAAAATTAGAATGGGAATAATAAAATGGAAGGGATTGTAATAGAAGAGGTTTGTAGCACCTACTAAGTCAGAACTCGTATGTTTTCAGACGGAAGATAATTTTATGTTTGACCAGTGTAAAATACATACAGACTCATGTACATTACATAGCTGCTCAGAGCTTCTGAGTGTACTGATTTGTAAGGCATTTGACATATTGCTATATCGCGATGTACAGTCATAAAAAGAAACTGAGTGGAAAGTTTGACATTAATGTGATTTATGCTGTCTTTAAGTATATTATGTCAGTCAGGAATTTTTTCCCCTTAGACTACCAAAGAAAAATGATTTCGGGTAGCATGTGTTATACTTGTTTGATCCTACTTCGGCAGCAACTGGGACATGGGGTTGAGCGGGAGGGTGAAGAAGGGCTGAGAAGCTGAGGTATGTGGTAAGCCTGAGTCGTTTGAATCCTCCCTTTTTGTTAGTTTTCTGTGAAGGTCCCATCTGGTTGTCCTAAAGGGTGGGAGGTGCTGGAATCCACGTGAGGTGAGGCACACAGCCCCAGTGCTAGCTAACAACCAGCCCATCCATTCACCAGCTGACCCTATTCACGTGCGTGGGGTTAGGAAGCCAAAATTACTCGTGAGCTCTTCTGAACACTAAACCCTTACTGTATTGTCACCTGTGATTGTAGAGATCCCATCACTGTTTTGTTACAAAAACACCAGTCCCTGCTTAAAGTTATGCTGTGGCTCTAAAATGCATTCACAAACAGGCAAATTGCATTTGCATTTTCTCTCACTGAATTGAGTATGAGGTGTATCTGCTCTTTCTGTCCCCCCGCGGGGCGTTTACGGTTGCTGCTGATGCAGTGAATGCTCTTGTCAGTGCTTATGCTCTCTGAGGGTTTTTTGCAGAGCACTTGTGAAGACAGACAGTTGGGGTGTTGGGTAATTAACTTCTTTCACCTAGGTATAATATTGTGGAAATAAATTACAGAAATCATCAGTACTGTTCTTAGTTTTCCATTTATTGTATCTGCCATGGTAGTGGAGGTGGCAACAGGAGAAAGATAGAAAAGAAACTACTGTTCTCCTGTAATTACAGAATCATATGTATTTTATGTAAAAATGGGTATTTTTTTTTTAAAGTAATGGGTGCTGATTGCAAGAGCTTGTACAGCTCTAAAATATGACTTTTTATCCACAGATACTGCATCTGTTTTGTGTGTCAGGTGATGTTTGTGTGCACACTTGGTTCGTTAGTTTTGTGACTGGTTTGTGTACACTAAATTTTATGGTTGAAATGGTTTTGCATAATACAGTTCAAAATGTTTCACACTTACAGTTGTTTAGACCTTTTCAAAAGCAGGGATTACAATATCTTTCCCAGAATATTTGTAAGTCTTAAATTTTCAGGTTTCACCTGGGATTTCCTGCTG